TCTTGACATTGAGATGCAATCCATATCGAAGGCTGTGCTCTTTAATCTTCATAAGTAAATGTTTCAAGTCCTCTTCACTCTCAGCGATCAAGGTCGTATCATCTGCATATCGCAGGTTGTTAATGAGTCTTCCTCCAATCCTGATGAGTGAAATTAGTCAGTCACAAAAAGAGAAATACTGCATAGGACCACTCTGACCTTTTGGTTAGCAGCTGAACACTTAATCACTGTCCACCAGGACTCCTTAATTCAGTTATGCTGTTGTTTACATCTTCCTTAAAATAAATATATGATGAATATATGCTATTTATCCCTACAATCAGGAATTAGTTTAAAAAGTGTAATGTAAACAGTAATGTTAAATTGTGGTCTTTCTGCATTGTTTTACTTAGCATTCTGTGAAATTGCTTACTTACGTGCTCTAATTCATTTTACTTTCCCCACTGTAAGTCCTGGTGTGGTGCTGTAGGATAATGCACTTAGAATGTAAGGTATGACTGAACTGCAAGGTTGGTGGTTCAAACTCAGTAGCAGCTCCTTGAAAACCTTATACAGGGTCGCTATAGATCCGAAACGACTCAACAGGACTCAACAACCACCACCACCCTTGATTTAACTATAGTATTTCATTTAGTTAAGAGCTATAATGAACTTAAGATACAAAAGGTTATTTCAGTAGAAATTTAAGTGTATTTTTTCCTTTTCTGAAAGTATCACACAGGTTATTGAACTTTTAGATGGAATTCACGTCTGTGAACCTGCTCTCTCATGTGAAAAGATAAGTGAAGTCATTGTCAGAGACTGGATGGTCTGTCTTTCAAAACAGAAAACTGGAATTTTATCTCAAAAAGTAGCACCTAAAACTAACACACATTTACAGCTACATTTTCAAAAGGAAATTGGAATTGAAGGTGAGATACTGCAGGAGGATGGTGAGCTTCAATTTTGCTTATGTATATATTTGCAGTAAAACTGGAACATTTTTAAATGTAAACTAATACATTTAAAAAGTATTTCCCAGACATTTTTCCCCTATAGAAACTCAAATATAGTACTTATTCTGTTAAATTAAAATATATAAGGGACAAAGTCTTTTTCCTGCTTTGGATATAAATTCTGATACCTCTGAAGAACTGAGCTTCTTCTAATATTTACATTTTATGTATATCTAAGAAGAAGTTTGGATTATGAAACACTATAACTATTCAAAGGAGTGTTTTAATTTAGATCAGTGATTAATACCTGGGAAACTCTATAAAGGGTGGCTTTGAGTGAGAACCAACTCGACAGCACTTAATAACTTAACAACAATATGCAAGTAGCTAGTATTCCAAAGGAGTCCTGGTATGGTGCTATAGTATAAGCACTGGTCTGCCAACTACAAGGTTGGTGGTTCAAATCCACCAGCTGCTCCCTGGAAACCCTACACAGGGTTGCTATGAGTCAGAACTGACTTGATGGCACATAACAACAGTATTCCAAAAAGCAACTTCTAAGATACTGCTAGAATTTTTCAAAGAACTAAATTAAGGTCCTTGTTAAGTATGTACATAATTTAGGCCACGAACAAATTTTCAAATATCCACTGATTTATGATATGGTCTTAGATTAGATCCCTTTGGTGGTGTTGGTTCTGACTCATAGTGACCCTATATAGGGTTTCAGAGGCTGTAAATCTTTATGGGAACAGAAAGCCTTATCTTTCTACTGCAGAACGGCTGCTAGTTTTGAACCATTGACCTTGAGGTTAGCAGCCTGACTCATAACCACTACACTACCAGAGCTCCTTGGATTATATATAATTTCATCATGTAGCATTAATAAATTGTTCATGTCAAATAAATGGCAGAGTAGCTCCTAAACAAATGTTGGAAAAATGTCCAGGAGAAAAAAACTTAACAGTAGAGGCAGTAATTTGTATTTTAACAGTATTTATAAACAAATTATTTAAAAAAATATGTAACATATATTTTGTTTTACACCAGAAGAATCACAATCTGATTTTCCATATGGATCATTTCCCTATATTGCTAGACCTATACACTGGCAAACCAGTCACAAAGGTGAGTAATGTTTTCAGGCATTACTAAATGATGTTTTTCTTCTGATTATTTTAATGACCTTACTTTTTCCCTTCTTAAATTAGCTTTTCTTGTCAAATTGAGGAAATCCAAACCACAGCTTAACTGAGTACTCCAGAGGACAACAACTGAATTGAAGACTGGAAAGTACCAAAATAGAACTTTATATTGCAAATTACTACTCTCATAGATTGGTATTTTCAGCTATTACTATCATTTGTATAACTTTTACATACAATTACTATCATTTGTATAACTTTTACATATAATTTTGGAAAATAGTCAAAACTAAAGAAAGATGACATTGCAAAACTGCTTAAATGTCCCATTTTGACACATGTCTTGCAGTTAGTTTGACATTTTGCAGTTAATGGTTCCAAGTTTAGCTGAGTCATCTCATTCTTCACTTCCTGTAAACCACTCCATAGATTTGTCTTTCTCCATGAAATTAGTTTCCTTTTCTTTGTTTGATTGATGATCACTGGCTACTGAAAATAAAATACGCATTTTAAGATAAAATTATATGTGTCTGTGTATTTTAAATATATTTTTTAATGTTGTTTATTTATATTAAAGGAGTCCTGGTGTGGTACCGTGGGCTAATGTGTCATATTGCAAAGTCATTTGAACCGCAAGGTCAGTGGTTCAAGCTCACCAGCCTCTCCTTGGAAACCCTATACAGGGTCGCTATGGGTTGGAATTGACTCCACGGCACTTAACAATAACAACAATGTATATTAAAAAGTAACAAAGAAATCTAGGTTATGGTAGAAGTGGGGGTGGTGGTAAATGAGAAAGAATGTTGTTGTTGTTGTTAAGTGCCTTTGAGTCGGGTCCGACCCATAGCGACCCTGTACAGGGTTTCCGAGAGTGTAAATCTTTACGGGAGTAGAAAGCCTCATCTTTCTCCCGCGGAGCGGCTGGTAGTTTCGAACCGCTGACCTTAAGGTTCGCAGCCCAATTCGCAACCACTACGCTACCAGAGCTCCTTAAAAGTTGTAATAAAAGATGTAAACATTCTTGAATCTTTTTAACCCTTATTATAATATTTTTAACTAGCTGAAAAGAACATCAGAATTAGTGTTATTAAGCTTGTATAAATCAAGTATTTGGGGAAATACAGTTTATATAAAACAGAATTAATTAGGAATAGAGTTTATTATTCAAAGGGACTAGTTTTGAGCATTTGCCTTAAGCCATATATTATTGTAAGAACTTTATATATGTATTTCATTTAATATGCACAACTTCTCAGGCTTAGAGTGGTTGAGTTGTTTAAATATAAACATGTTTTAGGTTTTATAGTATTGTTATTGTGGTTGTTATGTGCCATGGAATCGGTTCCGACTCACTGCATAGGGTTTCCGAGGCTGTAAATCTTTATAGAATCAGAGCCTGGGAAAACAAATGCTGTTATTTCTGGGTTTATTCCTTAGGCTACAATGATTTAAAATAATATGTATCCTGAAAAACAGATTTTCAACTAAAACCTTTGCCTTTATAGACTTTACTATCCAAGAGATGGCTAGACATTAAATAATCATTGTTGTTGTTAAGTGCCGTCGAATCGGTTTCGACCCATAGCGACCCTGTACAGGGTTTCCAAGGCTGTAAATCTTTACGGGAGCAGAACGCCTCATCTTTCTCCCGCAGAGCCACGGGTAGTTTCGAACTGTTGGCCTTAAGGTTCGCAGCCCGATTCGTAACCACTACACTACCAGAGCTCCTTACAAGTATAAAACTAAAACTGTTACAGGTATTCAAAGGAAGTACAGTGACTATAATAGGGCTTTTTCTCTAGTTAAGCAACCAGCCAAGCAAGTGACAACTTTACTGAGATCTGATAAACAGGCATTAGCAACAGCAGCAAAAGAACAGGGATGCTGGGGTCCGGTGAAAAAGTGGATTGCATAAATTTGGTTAGAAAGAGAAATAGGGGCCACGTCCTGCAGGATATACTTGTAAGCCTGCTATGGAGTTTGCCTATCCTAAGGAAAATGAAGTACCATATAAGGAGTTAATTAAGGTAACATTTGGATTTGTGTTGGAAAAAAAAAAAAAAAAAAATCACCCTGACTGCAGTTAGAGAGCTGACTGAATGGGAAGCAGAGTATCTTCTGGTGTCATATTTCTATAGTATATCTATCTTGAAGTCATACAGTAGTAATGCCTTCATAGTTGTTAGAACATTTTTAGATACACAGAAGCTCTGAAGTACTATTTGAAAACTCTGTCAAGGACTACTCCCTTTTCTGCTCTTTTATTCACCTTGTAGCAAAATTCTGTCATTCGTTCATTCTTCTGAATGCCTACTATGTAAAAATCCTAATGGTACTACTTGGAAATGGGGCTGGTTGACTTCAGAGCAAAGAAAATTCTGCCCTCCATCCCTATTTCATGTAGAGTACTGAAGTGTCTTTTCAGCATACTGTACTTAGTTGTAGAGCTTCCTAATAGCAGCTCTTAGGGGCTAGTGTTGAAGAAGATATTGCAAGCATTTAGTTGTATACTTGATCAAAGTCCAGTTTAAGCCCTTTCTCTAAACCTCCTCTGAACACTAAGCATGATTATTATCTGGCTTATTAGACATATGCCTTCTTCTAATGTTAGCTGTCCATGTTATTCTGGCTCTCTTTGTGATCTCCTAGAGGTGTGGGACTGGTTCACATTTTCCCAGTACCTTCCTGAAGCTCCACTTTTCCAGGGCAGTTAAATAGTAGACAAAAATTTGCTGATGTTAAGCCTACACTGGGTCTAGTATGATTTCATATATATTATTGTTTTGTGCCTTTGAGTTGGATCCAACTCATAGTAACCCTGTATAGGGTTTTCAAGGAGTCCTGGTGTGGCACTATAGGATAAGCATTGGACTACTAACTGCAAGATGGATGGTTCAAACCCACCAGCTGCTCCTTGGAAACCCTATACAGGGTCACTATGAGTCTGAACTGACTCAGCGGCATTTAACAACATAGGGTTTCTGAGAGTGGCTGCTGAGTTTGAACTACCACCCTTGAGGTTAGCAGTCCAGTGCTTATCTACACTATAGCATCACACGAGAGCTCTGAAAAACCTTCAAGTCTCCCACCCCATAGATTTAATTCTGCAGTGCTTTGTACGCCTAGATTGATCATATAATTAACTTAAAACTAACCAGCTGCCATCAAGTCACCCCTAACTCATAGTGACTCCATCACAGAAGAACTATGCTTCACAGGGTTTTCAATGGCTAATTTTTCCAAAGCAGAAAAATTAGGTCTTTCTTCTGCACATAAAATTAGTATAATCCTGATCACATTAATTTATATGCCCTGATTATGCCTTAAGTGTAAGAATTTTAAACCTGGATGCTAAGAACAGTGGTGATGACAAAAATAAAGTTGAGAAGGGAATTTAAAGAAAAATTATTTTACATGATAACATTTGGAATCATCCATGCCTGACTATATAACCCAGGGTTATGCTTGATATTTTCCCACCCATCCCTCTTCCCCCCTTGGTTTCACTCTAAAATCTGATAAGTTCTTAGATAACACAACAGTGAAGATTCTATTTTAATTCCATTTTCCATGAACTTTTTGAAGCCCCTCATACATACTCATCTTTCACATGCATTTGCCTAAACCTAGCCCTAGGTTTTAAAGTTGAAACAGCTTAAGGTAAGGACAAACAATGGTAAAGCACTGGACTGACGGCAAGGTTGATTTGAATGACAAGGTTGGTGGTTCAAAGTCCTCAGCCACTCCTTGGAAACCCTATACAAGATGGCTGAGCCGGAAGCAACTCGATGGCACCTAGAAGAAATCAGTATACAGATGTGCTGTGTTCAGATAGAACTGGGTTCTCATCTTGCTGTTTTTGTTCTTTCTGCTGCTAGTGTTTTACCTAATCTGAATTTTCTGAGTTTATGTCTTCTTCAGTAAAGTGAACATCTTAATGCCATTTCATAGATGTATGCATGTGTGTATGCATGTGTGTGTGATTTTAACATGTTGCTTTTGGGGAAAAAAATTCTTTTAAAGTAGAAAAATGTGTTTTTACCTAAAACGGGAGAAGCTGCTTGCTTGTGTTAGAAAGAAAGCCTGTGGAAGCATTTGATACCCATCTGTGCTAAATTTTAGCATAAAAATCTGGAGAGGAGTATCAGCTCTCTGGGTCTGAACTGGGTTTTCTACAACCACATGCCAGTTCCCATCTAGTCAGAACTGACTTCTGGCAACTCCATGAGTGTCAAGAGTAGAACTGAACTCCATCGAGCTTTTAATGGCTGATTATTCAGAAGTAGATCACCTTCTGAGGTGCCCTTGGATGGACCTTCCCATTAGTAACCAAGTATGTTAACCATTTGCATCACCCTGGAACTCTGCAACCACATACTACAAGACAAGTCTAGCCAGTTTATGTGGGCCAGAGAAAGAAAACTTGGTTAACTGAGGCCAACGATACACCCTACTGGGAATCTGCAGTAGCCAAGGTTGTGACAGAATGACCATTGTGCCTATCACCTTTACAACCCTTGCTCCCCTCTCAGCCTACTCCCTGCTAAGCTTATTTAAGTAAAATAAATGTAAATATTATAGTAGGTAAGTGTGTGTGGCTATCAGTAACAGGTGGTTTAAAATTTAACCTTGACTCAAAATAAAGCAATGATGAATACACTTATTCCTTCCTATATAGGACCTGCCCATAGAATCCTTCAATCTTGCAAATCAAGGCTAGAATTTTTTTTTTCTTTAGTTCTTTCAGCTTGAAAAATGCTGAGTTGTGTTTTTCCCTTTAACTGGAGTTAGTTTTCTAACTCCAGATCTTTACTCATTTCAATATAGTACTTTACTTTGCCTCTTTAAGCTGCCCTTTGAAATTTTCTGGTCAGTGAAAAAGAGGAAGACTCTCAACGAGATGGAATGACCTAGTAGCAGCAACAATGGACTCAAACATAATTGTGAGGATGATGCAAGAGCAGGTGGTGTTTCATTCTGTTGTGCATAGGGTCACTGAGTTGAAACTGACTCAACAGCACCTAAGAACAACATCCTAATATAATTTGTGAATCCTAAACCAGAACTCCAGGACCTTCATTGCTTCCCATACTCTCTGTACACACTCTCATTGAGCTGTCAAGGCCTGTAATCTACAAATATAGTGTGTTACTACTATACATCTACAGGGATTAGTATGAATAAAATATAATCACTTTTGTTTTGCTCTTTTTGTTGCTGGAATTCTCTCTAACTCACTCCATACAATCGTTCATTGAGGTCATGGTTCTTAATGCTTTCACCACCAAAGAAAGGATTTCATCAAAGGAAGCAGTAATACATAATTAGGAATTCTGGCTTTAGCCTAGAGTCAGACAGATCTGGGTTCTAATATAGCTCCTTCACATCACCTTGGACAAATTACCTCTCTAAGCCTCAGTTTCTTCATCTGCAAAAATGGAAATAATAGTATTTACTTTAGGCTTGGCTGTGAATATTAAAAATCTGTTTTGAATGTAAAACCTTCCAACTGGTATGTAGTTACAGAAAACCCAATTTCGACAGAGCTGATGCTCTGCTCCAGGCTTTTTGCTAAAACTTCCAGTCGAGGTTATCGGGTGCTTCCACTTAGCACATCCAGTAACTATCACCTATGACAAGGATCATTTATTTATCATTTATGGTGAAAATTTACTGTGTGATTGACAAAGCATTTCTAGTTCATATGATTATTTTCTAATTACTCTGTCATTGTAAAAGCAACTTAAATTCCAACAAAAATGAAATATGTACCATAAGTGATAGTACATATACCATGTCTCATGTTTAAAAATCAGATCTTAATACTACTTAATAGAGTGGTGAAATCCTTTACAAGTTATATAAAATAAAAAAATAAAGAAAAAAAATTAGGCCCAGATATAGAATGGTTCTAATTTATTAAAAATAGGAAATAAAAAACCAGAAATGTGTACGAAGAAAACAAGAGTTAACCAGTCAATGAAGTCTGGATAATGAGATTACAAATAAATTTATTTTCTTCTTGAAAATCCCTTTTGAATAAAACAAGTATTTCAAAGAAAATGGCTCAGATTCTTTTAATGGTTAAAAGACTTGAGGCTATGGTGTATGAAGTGTCATTTTAACGTAAGTCACACTAAAAATCCTTTTAATTTAGGTAGGCTACCCAAAACACAGAAGGATACAAGAGAAAAAAGGATCACTGAAAGAGGGGCACCTCTCACTACTAATTGAACTCTGAGTGTTGTAGGCTGTAAAAGATGCCTGTAATGACTGACCAGTGCTCAATAAGTAACATGCGTAAAGCTGATATATCACTAAACCATACCTTGAGGATAGCTATGAGCTTGAGAAGGGTCAACTACTTTTTCCACTGAGAATGAGTTGTGTGATTCCTGAGAACATTTTTCCATCACTTCCACTGTCCCACTGGATGAAGACGATGAAGACAACCCCAGTCTAACGTATCTTCCTTTTTTACCACAAAGCGAACAATCTATTGGTGTGGCACTAGGTCCCCGGGGCAGCTGAACCTCATCTCTGTTGTAGTTTCTCACAGCCCCACTGTGATGCTCAGAGCGCTCTCGTTGCCATATATAATGAGTTGGTGCAATAGCCATAACCTATAAGTGGAAAGCTTACTTTGAGACTCTTACAAAGATTTCATAATGTAGTAAAACTAAGAATAAACATTTAAAATCAAGAACAGCTATCTCTAAAACTAAATTACCAGTGTTCAAAGAAAAATACAGAGCATGCAATATTACCAATAAAGTGACCCATTTGGTTAGGTCAGAAAGACAATAATTCACAATGTATTTAAGTTATTTCAACTGGGAAATAAGATGGAAGTAGTCTTCCAGCTTGTCAGGGTATTTACTTTTCATTTCTCAATATTCTGACTTTGGGGAAAATGAAGTTAACCCAAAACAATATATAATTGTTAACCTCAGGAAGTTTTGGGTTTAAAAAAAAAAGCTTTTGAGGTTCTAATTATGTATGTGAAATTAATTTCAAAAGATTTGTAAGTATGGCAAAAGATACAGTGAATAAGAACACAGGTAACTTACTCAACCTTTCTGTTCCTCAGTTTCCTCATTTGTAATCTGGGGGTTAATCATACTCTATCTTAGAGCATTGTTGTGTGGTTTTGATGAGGTATTATTTGTAAAGCAAATAATAATGACAATCCTCCTTACATATCAGTCCTGGTGTGGGGCTAAAATGTCATCAAGTTGGTTCAGACTCATAGCGACCCTGTGTAGGGTTTCCAAGGAGCGGCTGGTGGAGTTGAACCACTGTCCTTTTGGTTAACAACCCAGTGCTTACCCGACAGTGCCATACCAGGACTCTACATAACATTTAGAAAATACAAGCCATTTAAGAAGTGAGCAATATAATCAAGCTAGGAAGTGTACATACATGCTGACTTCATGACTGAAGTCTAAAACTTACGTACTTCTAAACAAAAATAATTAGTTTCATTTACCAATAATGCAAAGGAAATAAGAACTGTTGAAATTTAGAGCTAACTGGTGCCTTACTAATTACCTACTCTAGTGATTTTCAAAGTGTTTCGAGCCCTAAGGTTTCAGAGGTGTAGGTATACTACTGTAGGAGGGGCAACGGAAGATTGAGCCAGTAGAGAAGCTCAATATTTTACCTATTTTATATGGAACTGTGTGTAACATTGTATTTGGAAAGAAAAGTTTTTGCAGTTAAAAACAAAAACTTTAGAAATCCCAGATTTAGACTAGTTCCCTCAGAAAAAAGGGTTATTGTGTTATTCCCTAAGATAAAGGGATGAAGAATACTAGCTAGGCTAATATGAAAAAGAAGAATATTTGTTAAGGTTAATTTTATTTTAAAATCTACTTTTAGATTTTTTTCAAAATATTTTCAACCTAATATATATAATACAATTACATAAACATGAAAAGGTACAACAAATAGACATTAATACTAAATATAAACATTTCTATGACAACTCAAAACCAGAGTCAAAGCTTCCTGAAGTGATGAAGTAGAATTAGATTATCTTACTCCTGGTGTGGCGATGTAGGTTCAGCACTGGACTGCAAACCACAAAGTTCAAACCTACCAGCTGCTCCTAGGAAACCCTATACAGGGTAGCTAAGAGTCTAAACCAACTGGACGGCACTTAACACTCCTTCCATTTTCCTCAATACTTATATTCTATACTTTATTTATACTTGTATTTTATACTTTATTCCCTTTGTCTGGTATAGCTCCTTTCTTCATTTGCTTCAAGGTCCCCTTTTCTAATAACTAGCTTTCAGATTTTGTTGTCTCTCAGAGCTTTAAGCATATAACCTTCTAGTACTGAGATTTATCTTTTTATGCATGTCATCAACTGAAAACCCCCTAACAGCAGGAATGTCTCATATACCCCTGTATCCTGCATCACATACTCTCCACACAATATCATCCAGTCATTTAATGATATATGAAAACATGAACTGGAGGCCAATAACATGACTTGTTCACCAACATGATTTGTATACAGCAAAACTTAGCAAGAGCAGACGCAAATTACAGGAAATTCTGCTGAATTTCAAAAACCTGCTATTTCTGCAATAAGCTAAGCATCGTGGTCTCCACATGCTAGTCCAGCTAAAAAATATATACATGTACTTGTTCAAATATACACTAAAACCTGTGAAAGCTAGATTCTGTCAGAGAAGGAAAACTCAAATATTTTCCAATAAAATAAGCATAAGCAATAGGAAAGTGCTAAGACTGCACCATGTCAAAAAGTAGAAAACTGGAAACTCAAAAAGCAAGGCAATCCCGTCAAGTTCCAGCTCTCACAGGGTTCACTACATGTTTTGTTTACATGCGAGGGTAAGTAAAAAAGAACTGCTCCAAAACCGTTGTTAGATGTTGTCAAGTTACACAATCCTATGCACAACAGAATGAAACACCGCCCGGCCCTGTTTCATCCTCACAATTGTTATATTTGAGATCACTGTTGCAGTCACTGGGTCAATCCATCTTGTTGGGGGTGGGGAGTCTTCCTCTTTTTCGCCATTACCACCTGCTTGGAGTTGGAATAGTCTCGATAGCAGTAAGTTGTTATAGCCTAAATAAATTTCACCTCTGAGGAACTGATGTCAAAAAGATAACTGATCCTAAGAAAATAAGATCAGCATATGTAGGGAAACAGTCTATTCTTTTCTGAAGAAGCCCTATATATTTTTCTAATTTAATCATGAATCCCTTTTCACAAAGGTATTTGAGGTAGCTTACAAAATGAATAACTGCAGGAGAAAAATAAAAATTAAACTAGGATCCAAAAAAGGGGAAATTGGGCTAAGGGAGTGTAAAAGCAGAAATGCTAGCAGAAGTGTTATATTTAACCAGGTGTCATCAAGGTGACTGACTCATAGAGACCGCGTGTGTGTCAGAGTAGACTGTGCACCACACGGTTTCCTTGAAGCCACAATTAATAAAAAGAGACCAATTAAAAAACTTATTATTATTTGAAATAATGTTCTTTTTTTGACAGCAGAGTACAATGAAAAGAATGCTGAGTTTTAATGACCACGACAAGTCATTAAATCTGTGAAATGAAAAGAACACTTAAACTATTCATAACCTAAGAAAAAAATAGTAATCCACATTTTAAAAACTAATAATGAAAATATTTATGAGCTTGCAAAGTACTACTGTATTGTAAACCAGTTTGAAGCTACTATTTTTACATGGATTTGTTTTAGGATGATGGTGATTGTTATGTGTCATGGAGTTGGTTCCAACTCATAGCAACCCTTAATAGGGTTTCCGAGGCTATAAATCTTTACAGGAGCAGAAAGCCTCATCTTTCTCCCACGGAACTGCTAGTAGTTTTGAACTGCTGACCTTGAGGTTAGCAGCCAGATTCGTAACCACTACGCCACCACAGCTCCTTCTGTTTTAGAATTTGGGACCAAATAAATGTTTTGTGTGGCAATATGCCAGTACAGGGCTCTCAATCATGAATGCATAGCTTAATTTCTAGCAGCATGTTTGCTACTTTGTGCTGCAAACTCTATACCTTCAGCAAACATCAGGAAGGGTGTACCAAATAAAGTTGATGACTTACTCATAAATGAGCTGTTGACTGACTACTTAGATAACAGGGAAAATCTATTAAGAAGTTACCTTTTCTGTACATCAACAAGATTATGAAAAAAAAAAAAGGCATTTTTATTGCAATAGGGGAAACCTGGTTAAAACAGCCAAAAAACAAAACAAAACAGCTTATCTACCTACCATTACAATAAGAGAGGTGGTGCTAAGTGAGCTCAATGAAAACTTGTTTTATAGTTTATTCTATTTTTATTTCATGGATAAGAAGCTAACTATGAAAAAACAAAAAAAGAAGTCATTACATTTACGCCAGCACTCAGTAAACATGTATTAAGTACCTAGGATATGCCAGGCACTGTTCTAGGAACCCGAGGTAAAATAAAAACAAATAAAGTTCTTGTCTTACTGGAATTTATATTCTAGTGGGGGTAAATATAAATTAGCAAGATAAATAAATAAAATGGAATATATTATATAGTAATTAGGTGCTATGAAGAACATTGAAACCAGGAAAGGGAAGAATAACAACAGGAAATACTAGTTTTTAAAATACCATTCCACTCACCATCTAAATTGTTAATGTTCAACGGCTGTCAGTCTATTCTCAGAGCACATATGCACAGAACTGTGCAACCAACATCAAAAAAGAAAGCATCCCCCATAGAAAGCACTCATCCTCCATGCCTCTCTTTCCAGTCCCTAGCAACCACTAATCTAACTTCTTTCTCTATGAATGTGTCTGTTGTAAACATTTTGTATAAATGGAATCACAAAATATATAGTCCTTTGTGACTGATTTTTTTCATTTAGCATGTTTTCAGGTTCATTCATGTTTTAGCATGTTTCAATGCTTCTTTTTCTTGTCAAATAATACTTCATTGTATATATGCCACATTTTATTTATCCATTCTCCAGCTGATGAACATTTGGGTTATTTCCACTTGGGGCTATTATGAATAATGCAATGAACATTCATGTACAATTTTTTGTATGCACATGATTTCAGTCTTCTTGGATATATACTGAAGAGTAGAATTTCTAGGTTATGTGGTTGTTTTTGTTAAGTGGCATTAAGTCAGTTCTGACCTGAAGTGACCCTGCACAGGGTTTCTGAGGAGCAGCTGGTGGGTTTGAAGTACTGATCATTACCCTGTGTTTTCCAAAGCAGCTATGCTACTTTGCATTCTAGAAGTTTATGAGGGTTTCCATTTCTCCACATCCCATGTCTTTTTTTTTATTATTATTATAACCATCCTAGTTGGAGGAGTCCTGGTGTACTGCTGTAGGATCAACACTGGACTGTTAACCACAAGGTCTCTACAGAATCGCTGAGTTGGAATTGACTCAACAGCACTTAGCAACAATCCCAGGGGTTGTGTTGAAGTGGTATCTCTTTGTGGCTGTGATTTTCATTCCCATATGGCTAAGAGCCTTGAAAGTGCAATGGCCAAAGTGCTTGTCTGCTAAGTGAAAGCTTGGAGATTTGAACCTACCAGCTACTCCATAGGAGAAAGACAAAGCAATCTACTTC